CCTTAAGGTTAATTGGGCTAATTTAGTCGTATATTAAAATGCATTATTTTAATTAATATAATTAGAAGTACTCCTTTGTACTCATAGCATACGTATTTTGGCTGAATAACTACAGTATAATGAGTACTCAACCTTTTCCCTAAAAATTTTGAAATTCATTTCTCGTTGGTCCTTGATTCTGGCCTCAGGGCTAATTAATACTAGACCGTCTACCAAAATTATAAATTCATGGCCCCTTTGCTCATGGTTTAGTTCCCATGACTTTGTTGGTTCTTAAATATTGAAATTATAATACACATTTTAAAATCTTTTTTATTCATATAGCATCCAGCAATGTCTAGCAGGCAGTGTTTGCACGAATAATACATTGAGTACTTCACCTTTTACCGAAATTTCAAATTCATGGCCTTCAGACGCCATGATTTGTTAATCCACCCAAAAACATACATCTATAAAAATATTCTTTTCCGAAGGACATACGACATCGCGTTCTTGACCCTTTACCTAAATTGTAAAATGAGTGCCCCCTGGGTCTATGGTACAGGTCCAAGGATGGGACGTGTATATAAAATCAGACATTGAATATATATAACACCTTTGAAAATATTCTTTGGTTATAAGAATTTAGCAGAAAATCTGTTTGCATTATCAACATTAGTAGTGTCCCTTAGCCATTTACCAAAATCGTAAAATCCATGGTCTCTTGGCCGATGGTTCAGATCCAAGGATGAGTCTAAGTTTGTCATATATTGAAAACTCATTACGTGTCATTACTCATGGGCATCTAGCTGTCATATTTTTTGCCTGATAATATAAAGCAGATATCCCCCTACAATAAAGCGCAACATCTGAAAAGGATATCCTTATTAACACCACTCATTCCACATTCCGAATTGTGTGAAAATCAAGGTTATTTTCAAAAGTTTGTTTTTACAATTTATTAATAAATATTTCAGAATAACATCAGTTCACTTTATCATCAAAGGTAAACCCAATTATAGTACAAGTGTATGCTTAGTCAGACAGAATTCTAAAAGTAGTACATTAACATTCTGAATTTGAAGTATGTATTTTCATTTGTTTTAAACATATTGTGACGGTCACCTGAGTATCATGAGTTTCTCAGCCAAAGAAAAAAGAAGTATAGGTACGTAGGAATAAACCTGCTCCAAAATGTTAACCTATTTCAGTCATTCAGAAAGAGAAGTTCAAATGCTGTGCACGGCCGAATCACATCTGGTAGTGTGCAACATTTGATGCGTTAGGAAGGAAGTTTTGGTCAGATTAGAGCTTATAGTAATTTGTGAATCAACCTACTCCATAAACTTTTCCCGGTTCATGTGTATCATCCATGTACGAGACTTATAGTTACTTAAGAAATAAGGTATCATTTTAAAACATCTATCGGGATATAAATACGGGTTGGTCACGAGATCAAATTCCATAAAGCCCGAAGGGCTTTATGGTAAATTTGATCTCGTACCAACTCGTATTTATATCCCGATAGATGTTTTAAAATGATACCTTATTACTTATATTTACATTTGTGACTTAATCATATTATATATTAGCCTGATTATAACCTTTAACGCGTGAAATGTTTTATTTTTTCAAATCCAACGGCACAAGTTTGATCTATTGATTGCGCGTCGACCCTTTATGACGTCACTGAGAAATTACGTCGATTGTTTATGACGCGAGGAACCCGTGTTTATACGGATATAGATACGCGTTGCTTTAAATAGTGTTATATAAAAGAAAACATTTGCAAATGTAAATATTTGGGAATGAACTTACTTCAAAAACTCTAACCTGGCCCCGGGGCCACGAACGTTTTATTTTACTCAACTCAAATCTGAGTTTAACTCTAAGTTTTTTACTCACCTGAGTTACGACTCAAAAAAGTGTGCCACGAAAGTTAAAGCAACTCAACTCCGCTGAGTAACAAAACTCAAATTATTTTTTATGATGTAAGTGGCCTTGGCAATGTAAATAAAAGAAAAATAAATAATGAAAAACATAATCTCTTTGTTTTCCTTTTGAATCTACCTCTATAATGCAAATTCACATAATTGTGACGTAATATTTTTTGTTTTGATGACGTTGCATACTACGGAACGGCTGTCTCACCAATATGGATTGATTGATTGTATGTTGTTTAACGTCCCTCTCGAGAATTTTTCACTCATATGGAGACGCCACCACTTGCCGGTGGAGAGCTGCAAATTTTGTCCTATACTCGGCACTTACGGCCATTGAGCAGTGAGGGATCTTTTTCGTGCCAGCACCTACTGCGACACGGGACCTCGGTTTATACGGTCTCATCCGAAGGACCGGTCTCCACGTCCCACAGTGGGATTCGAACCCGCGACGTAAGGATCGACTCCTTACTTCGCGACTCTAGAGCAGACGCTCTAACCACTGCGCCACGCGGGCGACCACCAATATGGAAGAAATGGATGTACTGTATGATATCATAGTTGAAAATCCTTCCAAAATTAACGAAACAATATTCGAGGCTGTCGAAACTCCCCTCGCAGCATCCACTCCAAAAAGGAAACCTTCCTGGAGCGACTTAGAACAGAGTGTTTTAATTGAATTTGTTTCAAAAAATGAGCAGAAACTTTTTGGAAAGTTTAAAGGACCGGGGAGGGGAAAAGTATAGAGAGAGAAGCTGCCTGGGAGGATGTAGCAAGAGCTGTAAACGAGTATGTTTATTTCAAAGAATTATTTATAAATTTTCTTACCTTGATAATTTATTTAATACATTTTAAAAATTCTATAAAAAAAAATTCTATAAAGTTTTAAATTATTCTTGCTTGTATCTTGTTAAGTTAAATTATAGATTTATTTAATTTGTGAGATTTTTATTGAGTTAATAACGCGTCATCTGCGAAGACTATATATACAAATAGAAAGTGCTCAGAAAAGAAAAAAAGAAAATAAATGTCAGGTCCATTTTCCATATAAACTTAGCATAGTGATAATATATCATACAGCAAATGGTTTAGCATAAAAGAGTGTACTATTTATAACCCGGGCTACCCTTCCCCTTTTTAAAGATTTTCACTGAAACAAAGATTAAAGCGCAAGGAAATTTTTTCAGTTAATTTAATTTACTTTTCATATTGATATTTTTTAAGTGTGAAAAAACTTGCAAATTACTTATGTGTGTCATTGAGGTGGATTTGATGGGCGCACATGCACCCCCCCCCCTCCATCTAGGAAGTCTTCATAAAACTTGTCATATTCATTTCATACTGAAGAGTTGCAAGTATTGAGCTATATTTCTTTTCACAACTTATTTCCGGTTTATTTCTGTTACAGAGTAGGTATTTACTTTCGGACAGGGAAGGAGGCATCAAAGCAGTATGCCAATTTGAAAGCCAGAGGTACACATCTAAAAATCATTTACTTTTTGTTATTCTGACTATATTCTGAATACAAAGCACATTTCAGTTAAAAAATCAAACTTTGTCTTTTATCTTTATAGCATCGTTTCATAATATATATGTACATGTATCGGTAACAGGCGCGGATCCAGGAATTTTTTCCAGGGTGGGTCAATCCGCAATCAAAAAATTTCCAACCTAGAAATGTCTTGACAAGCAAAAAAAAAACAAAACAAAATACAAAAACAAAAAACAAAAACAAAACAAACCAAAAAAACAAACAAACAAACAAAACAAAACAAAAGCAATCTAAAATCCATTTCCCCAACGTGAAAAAAATTGTGGTGGTGGTGGGGTCCACGTTTTCTAGAGGGGGTCCAAATTCGTTTTTTACTTGCTTCAGTATATGCTTTTAATAACTCTGCAAATTCTGGAACCCCCCCAACCCCCCTCTAGATCCGCGCATGGGTAACGCTCTTTTATTTACAACGGAGTCTCTAAAAGAAATAATGAGTTTGACAAGCTAAAATAAATTTTATTATCATTATTGTTCTTAACGTAGCAAAGGACAAACTGTCCCAAATTAAAAGACCCAAGACAGGTGGAGGTCCAAAGCCCCCATCACCAACCCCTGTTGAGCAAGCCATGTTGGATACTTTGGAGGGAAGGCCGTCCTTGCAGGGATTAGACCCAGGTTTTGATTCTGGTGGTAAGAATACTTTCTTGATGTAAATGAAATACATGTAACCACCTTTAGTAATAACCTTAATACTATTTCGAGAGATTTTATATTGGATATACGCAGTTCGAATTACCTAGTAAATCAAGTGAAAAAAGCATGTATGTTTATTTACTAGACATATGAAAAGAATACGTACATTTATTAAAATCCTCAACAGATTTTTCACTTAAAAATCGTGCGGTTTTTTTTTTTTAATTAATTGATTTATTTTTTTGGAAAAGAGGTCAAAATCCTTGCACGAAAGCACAAAATAAAAGTGTTAAATCGTATATATATATATTTTTTTTATATTATTTTGCATGATAATTATTGTGTTATATTAAGGAGAGGGACTAGTAAGTTGATAAAACTTGTTTCTGATCCTTTTGATTGTCAAAAAATATGTTCAAAACAAACAAAAGTGTTACAGGTTGCTCAAAGTTACTCATATTTTTATTTTATGTATCATTGAATAGTTACATCATTCTGTTTTAACAGAATTAGAGAAGGAAAGGGATCAGGTGGCATCCATCTCAACATGCAGCGAGGGTCAAGATTCATCTTCAAACACGTACACCTCAGTGCCACCTCGCTCTAATAAAGAAAACAAAAAGGAACAGAGTTTATTAATTCTACAGAAAGATCTTCTCAAGACAGAAAAGAGAAAGTTAGAGTTAGAAATGGAGCTGATGCATTTGAAGAAAAAGAAGATGTTAGAAGAAGTTGAAGTTTTAAGTCTAGAAAAAGAGAAGCTAAAAGAAGAAATATTGTTATTGAAGTTGAAAAAGAATTAAATAAAACGTAGTTTTATAAATGCAAATAAATCATCAATGAAATTTTATTTTTTAGTATATATATCTATTTAAATATCGATTCTATTTACGTATTCAATGCCCAAAAAACACATTGGCGATGTGATCTCTAACATGCTTTCCTTCGTGTTGCCCTCCTACCGCAGGCAGAGCCACCTCGTCGATCACTTGACCTTGAACAGTTGGTATCGGATCTACAATGTCATGTCTCTCAATCCCAAGATTGTGGAGAACTGTGCAGGCCACAATGATAGCGCAAGCTTTGGCGGGCTCCACCCGTAAACCTGTCTGTAGACAAGGAAACCTCCTTTTTAGGATACCAAACGCCTCTTCTATAACTACTCTCGTGCGACATAAGGATGTATTAAACCTCTCCTGTGCTCTGTTACTGGGAGTCAAATATGGAACCATGAGGTACCTCTTGAGAGCATATCCTGAATCACCCAAAATAATACCATTTCGCGCTCCTGTAAGCATAAAAATTGTATGTTCTGGATGGAAATTAAAACAAAAAATATCAGCAGTTAACTCCAAAAGTAAACCACTTTAGAATGCCCTTTTAAATACCGTTTACTCGCAAATTTAATTTATATGTTAATGTATGACTGAATATTCTCCTCCCTTTTGAAGCTAATTATTTTTTTAATCATTATTATAATAATTTATATGTCATAGAAAAATCGCCTATTTCAGTTTTCTTATTTATGCCTTACCAGTTTCGAAGAGTCTAGCAAGAGACGATTCTCTAAACACACGGGAATCATGTACACTACCCGGCCATTTTGCAATGCAGTTCACAAATCTAAACGAGGCATCACAGGCCATCTGAAAGAAAGTAAATTTACTATTCTTTTTTCTTTTTTTTGGGGGGGGGGGGTTGCAAGTACAAAAACAAGTTATGTTTCTGCTAAATCTTACAAACAAGAAAAAAATGATACATGTAATATATTCCCTCGATTATTACATATAATATGTTATATTTTCAAAATCAGTCTGACCATCAAATTTGCGACAATGTAAATGCATACAATCTGAGAAAAGCATGTCATTCTTTAAATTGATCCTTATCCTTATCTCTCAATCTTGCCATAGACTAAAACCACGTGACTATCATCAGAAGAAACAATTGTATATATTCTATGAAAATGTGATCTTAAGGACTTTGAATATCATCTTGAGTAGAAAAACAGATGAGCATAACAAAAAATCATTTATTATAGGTATTGGTGCCCCCCCCCCCCCCAAAAAAAAAGTTCTATGGTTAAAATATTATATTTATACTTGTAATTGTACTGCAAAACCTCTTAATGTGCGATATCACACGAGTCGTTTTCATATAAAAATAGTGAAAAAGAGAAATTTGGCAACCAATGAAAACGATATAATACGACTTAATTACGATACTTTATTTTCACCTGCACATATAAAGCAATTGAAAAATGAATTAGTTAGGGAAAAAACATGTATATATAATTACAATAGTTTATATTCACCTGCACATTTAATGCATAATAATCCTTTCTGCACACATATTCGGCCTCGTTCTGGGCAGGACATCGAATTCGAATTAATTAATGTGCCGTCTACACAGTATACCACATTAGGAAAACCTTTTATAAAATTAAACAAATAAAATGAAAAAAAAACAATAATAAACGTATCAGTGTTCACATATTTACTAATCATCAGTATATTTCAAAATATTTTAAATTCGATTTTTTTTTGGGGGGGGGGGGGTGATAATAACCTTTTGTCTTTTCTTTTCATCATTAATTAAAATATTTATTCCATATTTGGCCAGAATGAAAAATTAGATAAATTATTGGAAAAGACATTAGAAAGAAAGAAATTATCAATAATTCATGCAAAAATCACGAGTCAGCTACATGAACACAAGTAAAAAAGATATATAGCACCTGACTTAAATAATATTATATTTATATTTAACCCCCCACCCACCCCCACCCCCCAATGTATATATATTGCAGATCTTTGTTTTCATAAGGCTATTTTTTTTTCATTTTAGCAAGTGTAATATAATAATCTATTCATTCCCATAACAATTAATTGCTAAAATTGAAATATGTCATGAAACACAGCTTGGATTAACTTCCGAAAATATAGAAATTTGGGTAATTTCGCGCACCATACTTTTGTGCAGCTGATTCTGAGTTATCTCCCTTATAAAATGGAATAAGTTCATGGAGTATGATTTGAAATATTGTGTGCGACATTTCAGATAGTTTTGGTTTTTTTTATTATACTTTTTTCTTATGATATAAAGAATGTGGAGGCTGCTTTGCGGAACAGACTATTAAAAGTCATTGAAAGTGTGTTTATTGGATGTTTTATGACGTAACATTAGGCCTAGCGTTCGGGCACTGTACATCGCCAGGTAAGTAACTGCCAAGTACGCAGTTGTTTTAGACTTGTCATGTCAATACAGATAATCAAATCTTGGACATGTATACCTGCTAAACTGTAGAATTTAGTGCGTATCTCTGCAGTTTCAGGAATTGATGGGAAGCGAATGAACTGTCTGGCTAGCGAACAGAGGAGGGAGGTAACTTCTCGTATCGCTCGTCCTGTAGTCGACTTGGAAATAGCCAGCGAGTCCCCAATAAGTTGGTAAAACGCACCCGTAGCAAAGAAACGAAGTGCTAGTAACACCTGTAACAATGGTGGCAGAGCCGAACTCCTCTTCGTCGGATGTTCCAGTTGGTTTTCAATGAGACTACATATGAAGAAAATAGTGGCGGATCTAAACCTGTATCTCATAAAAATTTCTTCCTCTGTCAACGATTCCAGTGGATTTGATCTATCCTGAAGTCGACGTGCTATCCTCTCTTGCCTTATAATGTTTTGCATTATAATGCGCCTGGCAGCCATTTTTGTGTTGAGTTGACTTCTAAGACAGCTACCTAGCAATCTCAGATATTTTGAGAAAAACTCAAGAAAAAACTCTATTTGAGTAAGACTCAAGTTTCGTGGCACACTTAATTGAGTTCAACTCAGCGATTTGAGAAAAATTCTCAGATTTGAGTAAAATACAGCCCTTGAGTTCGACTCAAGACGTTCGTGGCCCCGGGGCCTGGTCATTTAACCATGAATAAAAATCTGATGCAGCACCCGAAGCCGTTCTGACAGTGTGCATCCTTAGATTGATCATCCATGCAAGTTTGGTTATTATTAACGTGATAATAAACTGTTCCTATAACTTCTCTGGGACGGCGTCGCCAGCCAGAGGTACAGAATAATCTCATTTTGACTGTTTTAGTATACCAGTAAGTAACCTAATAAAAGGAGTATAAAGGGTAAGTTTCATTCTTATTTCACTTTAATACACTTTTAATCCAAATATAACAGAAGATAAGGATATTATTCAAAAACCCTCTATTGGGGACTACTTATAGGCATAATATTTGTATGATTCCTACCTATTATTGAACTAAACAAGATAAAATGAATATTGTTTGAATGGAAGGAATGATTATCTTGAGAGGCAGTCAAGAACCTATGATAAATTATATCTTATTTTTATTATATCATATACACTATGAAAAAATGAATGATTTGTTTATTACATGCATATTACAGCTGTTAATGAAAACACATATTTACGGAAGCCCTGGAGGGACACTGACTTACCTCTCAGGTCTTATGACTTAATTGTTAATTCTTTTTATTTAACATTTGATATCACACGTTTACTTAACCCAAAAACGTGGCGTACAAGATGGAGGCTACGTGTAGTTTCAGAAAAGAAGAAAGGAATATTTTGCCTTTGAATTTATAACCAATGACTATATACATCTATGTTCATGTGTTCAATCATTATGCACACTGGAAGTTAACAATTACAACTGTACGTAATTACTATTAAGTAACAAGAAATAACAAAATGAGAACGAACAAATAACAGTTAAGTTAAAACAACTAAGTTATAAGATATAACAGATAAAGATAAAGTTATCACAACTGTACTGGACGTTATACTACAATCAATCAATCAAAAGCCATAGTTAAACTAAAACTAAACATATCATTTTAATAATGAAATTAAGCCAAGCTATACGTTCTCCATAGCTACGTTACACTTAATTATGACCAGCAACAAAAAAGTCATAACAAAAAATAAGTCACAACAAATAAGCTATAACAAATAAGTCATAACAAGTAAGTCAGTGTCCCTCCAGGGCTTCCGTAAATATCAAACATTCATGTTATTCCGGGGAAGATTTGCTACACCAATTGAAAAAAAAAACGTATCAATTTTTTTTAAATGATAAAATGGGGAAAAAAAATTGTACTGCATTGAAATACGTGAATTAGCGGTTATTTTATTGCAGTTTTGATCAAGAAGAAGCACAGAATTACTTAATTTAAAAATACTGAATTTTTCAAATTGTTATCAAGGACACATCTTAAAATATATTAAGTGTTTTTGCATATTTTTTTATGTTTATCAAGTAAATAAATACTTCTCATTAACAGAAAATGTACCTCTGTAATACCTTCAAATAGTTTCTCTTTAAGAAAGGTATTAATGAAATTAGCACCACGAGAAGAAAACTGAGAATGGACACGCAGATGACGACCACTTAAAAACAGAAAAAAAACATACATTGCGAAAAACAAACACATTTCCTTCCTTCAAGCTTGGTGATCTGGCAAAAACACATCATGCTGACGTTCTTCCTGACAAGTCACAAATATCCACATCAGGTTTACTTATCCGCAAAACATTGAGACAAAACTTCATCTGAAAAAAAAAAAAAAAACAGAGATGCATAATTTAAGACACTGCTCTCTATTAAAATCTTTTGCTATACCTTTAAAAATTGTGTCCTATATAATTCTTTACAAAAAAAGTCTAACATTTCCAATGTTTCACTGAGCGGGCATAAAAAAAAATCGATGTTGGACCGCAGAGTGAGATGTTGGACCTGTCGATGAGATGTTGGACCGCTTACGTCACAGGTTGGGCGGGGTCAGCTATATCATATTTGCATTCGTTGGAGTTCGACAGAACCGCAGTGCAGGTAAACGAAATTTACATCATGATATATCAAAATAAAAAGTAAAAGATATAACAAAACATTTATTGACTGTGTTCTCGGGCAACATGCGTTTTGTCGACCCTCGAATCAAACTGTTTGCCTGAGGCCGTTTGCCCTCGAACCCAGTCAATAAATGTATAGTAACTATTAGTATTGCGCCATTTTCTGATTAACTAAGTTCATCAATATGTTTCTTTTTTTTTTTTTTTTTTTTGTTAGTAGGTCAAGAATGACTTAGACTTAAGACAGATCCTTACTGTTTCATTTAGCTCTCGAGTTTCAATGCTAAGAACAACTGAACGTTGTGAATCATGTTTTCCAAAGACCTAGGATCGATTCTAATTTCTCATCTTCCTCCACAACAGTACTTTGCAGAGGTGTTTTAAATGTTACATTAATAATAGCTGACGAGTACTTGCCAGAATTTGTGCAAATACGCTGACTCTTCCACGAGCAGCGTTGGTCTGAAGACGATGTATCTACAGAACTACAAGCATCGTAGTCTTCCGAATTTTATTCTTACGAGAACTTATAAGGCTGCTATTTAGTCAGCCCTCGGGCTGACTAGTTACGTTGGGATGAAACTGCAAATGCGCTTTAGTAGATTGGAATTCTGGGGAAAATATTTAGACGAGTCGTTCTAAAGAATTCATAATTGTATTACTCTCTTCTAAAGGTGCATGCTTCTTCGTGCACCGTGCACACTTTCTGCTCAGTGTTTGACTGATGACACGACCTCTATTTATAGATTGCTCTGTTCTTCGACTTTATCGACGACAAAGTAACATGTGAACATAGATTGCTTGAAATGGGAAAGGTGTATTGAAGTGTTCGAGACAAAACTGCTTCAGTGTTTCCCTATATCAAAGAAAATAGCTACATGTAGTATGTAGCTTTATAGCTAGAGCAAAACAAGATATTGTTGTACCTTCAAAAATTGTTTCATATATAAATCTATACAAAAAAAGTCTGACATTTCCAATGTTTTACTGAGCGGTCCATTGAAAATCGATATTTCACCACTCAGTGAGATATTGGACCTGTCGATGAGATATTGGACGACAGCATCACACTGTGAGCGGGACCGAGTTTAACCGCAGTGCGTGCGGGTAAAGGAAATTTACATTATGGAAGCCAGTACAAGAAACATGTAAGTAAATAAAATTAAAGGTATAACAAAACATTTATTGACTGTGTTCTCGGGCAAAATGCATTTTGTCGACCCTCGAACCGAACTGTTTGCCTGGGGACTCACGGCCTCAGGCAAACAGTTTGGTTCTTGGGTCCGACAAAACGCATGTTGCCCTCGAACCCAGTCAATAAATGTATATTGCTTTACCTTTAAAAATTGTTTCCTATATAATTCTAAACTAGAAAAAGTCTAACATTTCCAATGTTTTACTGAGCGGTCATAAAAAAATCGATGTTTGACCACAGAGCAAGATATTGGACCTGTCAACGAGATGTTGGACCGCTTACGTCACAGTGTGGGCGGGACCAGCTGTATCTTATTTGCATTCGTTTGAGTTCGACAGAACTTTATGCAATTGACCAAGTTTAAACCGCAGTGCGGGTAAACAAAATTTACGTCATGTTTTGTCAAAATAAAAAGTAAAAGGTATAACAAAACATTTATTGACTGTGTTCTCGGCAAATGCGTTTTGTCGACCCCTCGAACCAAACTGTTTGCCTTCGGCCTAACGGACTCAGGCAAACAGTTTGGCTCTTTGGTCCGACAAAAGGCATGTTGCCCTCAAACCCAGTCAATAAATGTATACTGTTAAACAAGTGATAATTTCCCCCACAAGCCACAGGTTTTGTGTGCATTCCACAAACTCTTACAAGCGAATCTTGCATCAGACAGCCAAAGAGTATACACAAAACTCGCTTATTTGCGACCATGGTCACACCATATACGAATGAAAGTTTTTAAATTTTGATAAGACCACTCTATGAAAGTATGTTTTATAAGATTAGTGTAAAAAATTACAGTATCTAACATATGTGTACGAGAAGCTTACAAGTATATATATACCTACGTGAAACACGACTTGTTGGGGTATTTTAAATGCGTAATAGTTTTGCGAAACATTTAGTTGAAAGATTTACAAACTTAATGTGGAAGCACGTAATGCAACTTCAGATTCAGACAAGGACGGACACTCCCCCCCCCCCCTCCCCCCAATGAAAGAATCTAGTCTCACTTAAATGGTAGACGTACCAGTTACATTACAGAGTACTACTTACGTATACTAGTAGTAGGCGGCTAAAAATTGTGTACATTATATAGACTAAATATCTTTCTTAGATACTCCGATAATCCAATTAAATACTCCGATTGATCGGGTACTTTTGTTATTGTTGGAATAGCAACTCGATCTGAAAAATAATGAAATTAAAAGCACTAAATTTTAAGACGACTAAATGAAATATGAAGATAACGAACAATATTCAATTTCGAAAGTCCAATGAAATGATACAAATTTGGAGCAGAGCAAACACGGACCTCAAAATTTAGAGGTGGGATCAGGTGCAATGGAGGAGTGAGCATCCCTTGCCGACCGGTCACACCCGCCGTGAGCTCCTTGTCATAATCGAAAAATTACCCGGAAGTCCGTAGACAGTTCAGTGTATAAATAATGGCCTAACAATTAGTATGAAAAACATCATGATCAGTCAGCTTTCGACTCAATAATAGGTTGTATGTGCTGACAAGGTCATTGTATCGACCGTAAAACTTGCGAAATGATGACTTCAAACGAGACTGTTGATATCCTTGTTTCATCAACTTGTTTGTCAATAGCTTGCCTCGTTTTAGAAATTGTTCATACGTAGAGCATGCTCTTGCGTATTTAATCAACTGAGAGACATAAACCACATGTGCAGGTGATAATGGCATATTGCTACATAAGTAAGGAAAGTTGACGATTGAAAAGTTGAAGTCATCACATTTATCATAAAGCTTTCTTGTTAGGTTACCATTAACGTCTTTTTCTAGTAAAATATCTAAATATGAAACAGATGTGTCAGAATCTGTGGTATCTATTATTTCAAGCTCACTGGGATATATCGAGTCGACATATGAATGAAAGTAACTATTGTTAATTGATAATACGTCGTAGATATATCGAAATGCCGAGTTGAAGACCACAGCAAGCGGTTTTTTTTTCTTCTCATGAAGAAGTTTTTGAATAAAATCTGCTTCATATGAATACAAAAATAGGTCTGCTAATAAGGGGCGCAATTGGTACCCATGGAAATTCCAACAGATTGTTGGAAGACCTGATCTCCAAAAATTACATAGATATTGTCAATCAGAAACTCAAGCATCATTTTAATATCAACTTCAGAGTACTTGTGTGTACAATCAGAATGCTTTTTAACAAAATAATTTTGCAAATGACCAATGACAAGGTAAGTATATTTACGAGTTCCATTTTTATTGCAACTGTCTATGATGTCAAAAAGCCTGGACTTCAATTTATCGTGGGGAATGGTTGTATAAAGTGTTGAAAAGTCGTACGTTTTGATGTTATTTATTTTAGTAAAATTTTGTGATTTCAAATTTTCTAAAAGTTTTTAAGTATCCACATCTGATTTACACCACTTCTCGAATATACTATTGTACAATACTCCTGAAGTTTCTCCTTCATTACAGTACATATTTTAGTGAGGAGTAAAGAAAGAGGCTTGGTAGAATATTTACTGGAACCCGCTATGTATCTTTGTTTGTAAGGATTTTTATGAATTTTGGGAATCCAGTAAATGTATGGTAATTCAAATTCATTTTGATTGTTGGGAATATTAAAAATATCTAAAACGGACACATGATTTTGAAGAATAATAAGTTCATGAATATGAAAGGAAGAGACAGTTTCGTTAATCATGTATATTTTGATGTCTTTATTTTGTCAAATCTATAGCATCATATGCAATTGCAAGACATATTTTTGCGTGCTCTTAATATGCATTGTTTGGTTTTTTTCCAATTATTATTAATGAAAACTTTTAATTACCTCTACACTATGTAATTTCTCTCGAATCTAATGAAACATAAAGTAAATCAGGATCTTACAATATACATCAATTCTCGGAACGTCTTCCCAAGGTAAGGGTTTTTGATTTACTCCGCTCCACATAAACCCTTGACCGAATAGAGACTGACTTTGACGGGGTTTACTACCACGCCATCTAGTGAGATTACACATTTTGAACTCTATTGATCTCTGCTATTGACCAATCAGAGTAAGCGATTTAAATAGAGAATGCGAAACAATATTGAAAGTCGGTAATAAATTCAGCATAACTTTAACGCTGAGACAATCCTTTATCTTGGTTATTTTATGGTAAAAACGTTTTCGTTGAGACGTGTTTTTCTGTTTACGATTTAGTTTCAGGTAAGATAAAACAATGTTTTTGATTGGCTCATACAAACTCTAATGAGGCCAATCAGAGAGGGCATTTCTAACCCTGACAAAGTCGGCCTATTCGGTCAAGGGTATATGTTTAGCGGAGCGGATCAGAAACCCTTGACTTGGGAAGATGTCCTCGGAGATTCTTGGAAAAGACTGTTGCTACTGGGCAAAGTGCGAGCTACTGCGCGCGCATCTCCAAATTGACTGGTCGTCCTCCTTGGTCATTGTGTATTGTGAAGTGGTGATCAGGTTGTAGACGCACAGCCGGGATGAGCAGCATGAACTAAAGATTCATTCAAGAGACCCGGCTGCGACTGTCCATACCTGGCACGCCACCAGTTTATTTTCCCAGGAGGTTTTCAACGTATTTCGTCCACTTCCAGCCATTAATACTGATATTGTTGATACTCTACCTGTAAAAGTTCATGAAAGCGCGATATACATTAAAATCTCCGAAATATTCTGTTAATCTTCAAGAACAAAAGTTTCTTACCTTGAATAAAACTTTCCATCGTTATGATTTCTAGGAAAACTTTAAACTAAAGATTCGTCATTACTTTTCCCCTGTCCTATAGCCAATGCCCTCAACTGTTTTTAAAGAAAACAAAACGTTTTAATTCTGTATTAAACCCGAATCTTGGTCTGTAATCTGATGACATAGAATAATAATATTAGACAGAGAATGTCTGATATACTTATGGTCAAGTAACTTTTGATTTATCAACGAGTCATTCAATGTTACATTGTAAGTAAGACTTGAAAAGATATTTAAAGAACTGGATTATTCCATTGAAGATTTTATGTTACATACAAACGGGTAAAAATCCGAGCAATACTTACGTCAGTGGTGCGTTTTGTTACCTGCTTAGTTATTACAATTAAGCATGAAGTTAAATACTTAAAAAATGTTATCTTTCACTTATCATTAAAATCTTGAGCCGATAAAGAATTAATTATTTAATATTGTAATTTATTATAATTGTTATTACATATATCATTAAATCAAAGAATCGAAAGATAAGAAAGATACAATCAAAGCTCTGAAGGAATAGGGCTTGTGCTGGGTTGCGTAAAGGTTTGGATAAAGTAAAAGCACATTAACATATATTAAAAAAGTACAACAGTAAAAGAATAAACATAGGTTCTGTAGATTCAAAGTATCTATTATATAGATATAAAAATGAATATAGATGTAATCAGTTAATTATATAATACTTTTACTTTTCCAGTTATACAAATATCAGTTGACTTATATTCATATAATTTTTAAATATAATTTGATTCATATACGTAATTTAACTATTTTATTACCTGAGTGGATATTTATCTCAACATGACTGGAGCTGTTGAATTCTTTTCCATTGAAACTATTATGAGCAGTACAAGTGTACCTCCCCGAGTTTTTTTCTTTTATGTTTTGGAGAGCCAATAGCCCGTTATTGGAGGTCAGTATGAAGTCTTCAGATTTACCCCTAGACCGGAAGGTCCAAATGTAGTAGTTGATATGGTTGTCAATCAGTGGACTCGGGTTGCCATCGGCGGAGCAGTAAATTGTGATGTTACTCCCCACTTGGTACTTGGAATAATATGGTGTTACTTCGATAGAAGGAGTGCTAACTTTATCTAGTAAAACAACGAATTTTATATGTGATAAGCATTTACTAGCATTGTAAAAAATAAACATTAATTTTCTAAGATTTTTTTTTGTTTTGGCTAAAATTATTCGTATGTAACATAAAAATTGTCGAAAAATACTAATAACGAAATCTGCAAATAGAAATGAAATTGATTCAGGTGTGCAGAGATTTTCCTTTAATAATCCTTACAGTATACTCGTATTTTCTTCGAGTCTTCGTGAGGTTTCTCATAATCAGGGTAAGCTGTAAGTAGATTGTTGTTGACAGAGCATCTCCACACGGATTGGTCGTCATCTCTTGTCATGCTCAATGCAGAAATAGAGCTAGTTAGGTTATAGACGCAAACATCTGTCTGCATCAAAGGTGTAGTGTTCGATTCCCCCATGAAATCAGGTACAGATTGTCCGTGTCTGAAGCGCCACCATTTAATATTTCCTGGAGGTTTCCCTACATTGGCAGTACAGGAAAACTGCACTTTCATGCCTTCTTCAATGTTATCTGGATTCGGATTCGGGGCACTGTGCGGCTTTTCAGCGGGAGCTGAAATTATGTTATATAAAATTAAACCTTCTATTTGATTATGAAGAAGAAAAAAAATGATGTACATCAGAAATGCACAAAAGTGTTTTATTACCTGTCACAAGCAGGGACGCTTCCGAAGTTACATTATATTTTCCTGTACTGTTGGAAAACGCAACCAAGCACCTGAAATTCCCCTCATCTTCACACCTGACCTCATACAGTCTGAACACAGCCGAGAACGTGTCTGAGCCTACGGCAACAATATCAGGCAGTATAGATCGGGCTTTGAACGCCGAACCTATCGGTGTTTCAGCGAACTGGTTTGGTTTCGTGGATGAATACTTCGCAATTGTTTCGAAGTTCCCACTTCCTTTTACCCTTTCTATCTGCCAGGAAATGTCCCCATTGTTAACAATTTCACCTGAACCTAACGTGTAGTCACACTTAAAGTTAATTGGATGCCATCCCATCCTTGCCTTGAGGAAAGACTCCGTGGTAACCGTACCAGCATCACAACCTTTAATAAAGAAATTCGTCTCAGTTTAAATTTGAAATAGTAGCGAACAAAAACTGAAAAAAAGTTGAATACACTAATGATATTTCAACACTGTACTAAACTTTTAAAATTGTAGGCTAACCAGAGCTCCCGGGTTTTGTTTGACATAAGTTAGAATATACTCACATTTTAACGTTAATATAATGGGTAAAAGGCTTAAGACGATACGTTGGAAATCCATTTTTACTGCAATTTCTGAATGACTTAAAAACTTAAATAATCTTTATCTTATCGGAGCCGATGACACGTAGTGCAATTTGCACATGGAACGATTATGCAGCAAGTTCATACACTAACCTCAATAGGGCACAGAGAGAAAGAGTCATTAAGTTCAGGAACAGAGAGAAAGAGTCATATAGTTCAAACACTGTTGAAATTTCGGTCTTGGAATGTCGCCAGGCAATTTATATGTGAATATTAAAATTATAAATCTTATTTTTTTTTATTAGTGATTTATAAATTTATATTGACACATTAAAAGTAAGGTTTACACTTTTAGTTATTTCCATTTTTTAAATAAATAGTTTAGCATTAATACAGTGAATGTAAGTTTGTATGTATATGCAATGGACAGATTTTCTTAAATTGTTTCAAATTGCTCCTGTCATTGTTGAGTGGTATAAACTAGTGTATCTTCAATCTACAATAGGTTGCCATGAAAGTATGAACCTTTGGATAAAAAATACTTGAATGCTACTAAATGACTTTCGTTGTACGATGGCCGACAGCGGCCGCCACTTTCCAATTAAGAATATTGCCATTTTGTACAACGTTTTTGTCAATTTTCGTTGCGCGTTCGCTCTAGAGACGCTGAGTAAGGAGTTGATCCGTACGTCGTGGGTTCGAATCCCACGGTGGGACATGGAGACCAGTACTTCGAATGAGACCGTATAAACCGAGGTCCCCTGTCGCAGAAGGTGCTAGCACGAAAAAGATTCCTCACTGCTCAATGGCCCTGAGTGCCGAGTATCGGTCAAAATTTGCAGCTCTCCACCGACAAGTGGTGGCGTCTCCCTATGCGTGAAAAATTCTCGAGAGGGATGTTAAACAATAAACAAACATAAACAATAAATGGTTTATACGGAAGCGGGTTTGAGTATAAATATAAGCACTAATTTTCTAAAATGAATATTGTTCTGCAATAAAATGACATTTGTGGGATGTCACAAGATTTCCTTTATCGTTCTTTACGATTACTGTATTAAATTTAACCTTTTACAAAAATTCACACTTTCCGGTACTAATTAAAAGAGAGATCTTTAGTATCAGAGAGTGTGAATTTTAAATTTATAAAACGTTAGTTTTAGGTCATATTTTGGATTTTTCAATTGTAATACCTTGTGAATGTATCATAGAAAAATATTTTATTAGAAAAGCCGAAGAACCCCTGGCCTAAAGAACACGGTTGGGGGAGCAGTCCTAAGGCACGGGTGCTTAACCTTTGCATTACTTGTTTTACAAATGTTAAACGAGAATTACTTCCTTAAAAGAAATAAAATGAGGTTTTAGTGCTCATTATTTTTTAAAGTAGTCCTGTCTGATTATAATGCACATCTGCCATTGTTCTGGTCATGCGCGAATCACGTGATCAAGGCGGTCACGTGACATGCTCCGTGGCGTTCTGTTCACGGAAGCTAAAAGATTTTTCCGAGTCTTATATTTCTTACCATGCAAGTTATTTTTTATAACAAGAACAGTCCATCTGTCAGAAATGGCCAAATCTCGGAAATAGGATGGGTTGATAAGGACACCCCTTCCCAGAATGAGCATGGTGATCATCAAAACCCGAATCCTCTGTCTCGGGAGCGTCGTTTATCCAATGTGAATAAAGTATGGACGACCTTTTTTTCTTTATCATATCTCATATGTTTAAAGTCTAAAGTAAACGATATTTTAGGAATTTAATAATTATATTATTGTTAAGATATTCAACTATTTTTCTAATTGTAACTTGGCGTTCTTTCATAACAAATTGCTCAACTAAGAACACATCTTTTCCCCGGCTTGCTTTTGCTGGGCAACGGAACAAACATCATATTTAACCATATCCCTGCCTTCACTAAAACAATCAAACCAATTAATGACTGAACTTCTGGTAAGTCTTTTGTCTTCATAAACCTGGTACAAATTATCATATTCTACAGCAAAGGAATTTCCAAGATATACGTTAAACTTTACAACCGCTCGTTGGTCCAGTACGACTGAGTCCACCATTTTTTGTCACAAGTCACCTACATATTGACGTCATTTTCACATTGTGACGTCACAGACACGGAGCAAAACATTATATAACACCTGCTATTTATAGAGGATGTGTATGACTATATGTGTGCAAAATTTCATTCTGATCTGAATTGTGGTTTTGTAAATATAGAGATAGTTCGCGAACTTTTTCATCACCCCTCGTATATATTCATTTGTGTTTAAATTTACAACCATAACGTAAAGAAAGGAAGTTGGGATTCATGTAAGCATGACAATTCTCCTGATCTTTTCGAATTGACAGGAAAATGGCAGCTATATCGTCTGGCTGTCTCCCAAGTGGTCATTTAGTGCGTGACCACGTGAATGTCATGTGACATAACTGGACGCTCATGAAATCATGAATGGTGATGATCTGTGGAAATATTACTTTTTAAATTTTACAAAATAGTACAAAAACACTGTCACAGCTGTAAGCTACTATACATTAGTGTACAATATCAAAATTTAAAGTAAAGATGGGTGAAAACTGAAATTAAGATCGAAGATGATTCTTCTGTTGGGTTTGCCTGCCCTGAATATTCTTTTTGCTAATCATTGTTGGGAGAGATTTCGCTGTGACACGAACGTACAGAGGACCCCAACAACTGCATCAGGTAGGCATGGTAGCTAGGTGTTACAATGTATGTACTATCACAGGCACCTGAAGCGTGCATCAACCCCCCACCCCCACACAGAACTAACTAATAAAATATAAGGAGTCTTTATTTTCTCGAAAATATGTTATTTCTCCGTCAATTCTCTCTGTATGTCATTCTGTGCATTCTGTGGTTTGTACTTTTGTTAAGGTTTAAAAATTGGCCATATACGGTATGATGAAAATATTTTTATCATACCCTATATGGCCAATTTTTAAACCTTAACAAAAGTACAAACCAATTGCATTGCACAGAATGCCACATACAGATAGAATTGACGGAGAAATCAAATAAAGACTCCTTATATTTTAATAGTTAGTTGGGGAGGGGGCCCACGCTTCAGGTGTGCTAGCTGCTGTATTACTTTAACTGAGATTTAGCTTTTGTTTTCTATAATAAAGAATATATGCCCCCCTCCCAAGGTTCTTATGGGACTGTTATGTCTCAGATGGAATTCATTCTTGAGATGAACTCTTATTAAAGTGTAGATACCCCAGGTTTGATTTACTAACAATTAACAATGTGTTTGATATTTTGTACATTTTAAAATTGGCAAAGTAAAAGCATAATTTATATGAAATATATGGAGATAACGAACAGTATTCAAGTTCAAAAGTCCATTAAACATTACATAATAGGTGCAGAGCAAACACGGATCTCCAAAACATCAGAGGTGGGATCAGGTGCCATGGAGGAGTAAGCATCCCATGCCGACCGGTCACACCCGCCGTGTGCTCCTTGTCATGATCGGGAAATAACGGAAAAATCCGTCGACAATTCAGTGTGTAAATAATGGCCTAACAATTATATTTCAATTCTGATATATACATATACGTGTATCAGAATCAGACTCATTTAATTAATGTCATGAGTTTTCAGTGTTCAAACGCCAGCCATCATTTACTTATAATTACAGTGAAAAGGTGATAATGCAGATTTTTGACAGACTGGTAGAAAACGGTTTTAGAGATGCAGGATATAATTATATTGCCATAGATGACTGTTGGGCAGAAAAAAGACCGAGATCCCCTTACAGGAAAACTAGCTGGTTGCAGACAGGAAAAGGTTTTCCAGTGGAATCAAGGCTTTGGCAGATTATGTAGGTTTACCTCAAAAGACTTAGTGGAATTGTAAGGTAAAGTAGCATTTGAATTAGTGGTAACATTTCAGCTGTAACCTGGAATGGGAGATCGGGGTGGGTGGGTGGGGTGGTGATGTAGTGAAGAAGTATAGGTATTTTTTGTCAAAGCTATTTATTAGCTAAAACGAAGATCAATATTTGGCCTCGTTCCCAATGACATGAATGTGAAATGTAGGTGTGGAGGTGTGTCTGGTTCAGAAATGCATACATGTATGTTACAGTATCATAAAGGTTTGTATATAGTACTTCGATCAATATTCAATAATTGGCTGCTCTGGTTTATACTCCAGCATGCTAGAGGTTCACGGCGAGATACTTTTGACTTGGCGCCGCGTAATCTCTAGCATGGAATATGAAGATAACAAAACAGTATTCAATCTTGAAAGTCCAATGAAACGAAACAAATTTGGAGCAGAGCAAACAAGGACCTTAAAATTTAGGGGTGGGATCAGGTGCCATGGAGGAATGAGCATCCCCTGCCGACCGGTCACACCCGCCGTGTGCTCCTTGTCATGATCGGGAAAAAAAACCCCGGAAAAATCCGTAGACAGTTCAGTGTATAAATAATGGTCTAACAATTGGTATGAAAAACGTCAGTCAGCATATGACTCAGGTTGTATGCAAAAAAATCTCGCCGCTGAAACTTCAAGTAGAAATAAATTATTTAACCAAAAATTCAGGCTTTGAACAATAACGAACGACACAAAACAATAAAATATTCATTATTGGCGATAAAACTTACACATAAAACAATGTAAATCTTTCGTATTTAACTATAAGTGATAAATCCGAGGTATATATTAAGGAGCGTAGGGACGTTAACCGAGGCTCTTACTTGTAGGAGTACCCTGGTTTAAAGTTTAATGAATGATTGGAGTTCATGCTATCATTATAAAACATATCTGTGGGCACTTAAAATAATTTGTGATATTTAAATTAGGGTGTGAATGGTCTGATGTGTTCTGTTCTACTTTCAAATCATCTGAATGTCTCATTTCTCACTACCTGAATTTGTCTGGAGGAGGGATTTATGATCAAAACAGCCAGTTGTTTTCAGTGAATAAATTGGTTCTATATATCAAAGCAGTGTTCCTTAAACTCAGTTTGGAATGTGGGTTTCAAGCAACAAATTTCTTTCATAGTGTTGTACATTAAAAAATGTCAAAACATCCAGTGAAACAGTAGCACTGATAATTTATTTCTAACACTGGGTTTACAATACATTCATTGAGTTTTTTCCCACGAGATTAAAAGGAATGTTTTCTGTGTATTTCAGGTTCGCAAGCACGGAATGAAGCTCGGCCTTTACGGCGACATGGGTACAAAGACTTGTGAAGGTTAATTCTACATACAGACACACAACCTTTTTCTGACTGGGGAGTTGACATGTTAAAGTTGAACTGTTGCAATGGGGGCACTGGAATGGAGGAGGGTGTGTGTATTTAGTACAATATTATTTGACTCTGCATTGATCGTGGTGTTTAAAAATTACCAATATGTATGTACAGTTGAAATGAATTACTCTTGTTTATAAACAGGTTGGGGGGAAACGTAAATTCCGCTATAATAGTGGTATATCACTATTATAGGGAGATTCCGTTATATTTTCAGCCGTAGTTACCCTCGATTTCATCAAATAACATACTTGCTGATTAAAGCGCAAGTTATGATGGGTATAAAAATGGACAATAATTTGAATCCTTGTATTTTATGAATTTTA